GTGTCCTCGGTACCTGCTGCCCGCTGTCGCCCTGCACTGGCAGCAAATGCTAGGCGTCAGGGCCCCGGTCGGTCACTCCTGCCTAGCCCTCATTTCCGCGGCCGCTCCAACCTGCCCCTCATTTCGCTTCCGCCCTTCAACACCACCCCCATCTTTTTGTCTTCCCGGGTGAATTCTCCGTTAAGTCTCCGCTCCGTTTGCTTGCGGTCCCCTTCCCTGTCTCCTTTCCGCGATGACCTATCCCCCACGGCACTCTTTTCGCGGTTGCGTCTCACCTTCCTCTCTCTTTCCCCACTACTTCTCTACCAGATCCTCCCCCTTCCGCATCCTCAGTGAGACAAAATAGCGGACTGCCGAGGACTCCCTAATAGGTGGCGGCGAAGTGCGGAAAGAGGAGGTTTGGAAGGGAGCAGGGAAGAGGGAGATTGTGTTCTTCAATGGTTCTGTGGGTTCTTATGAAAGTGAAAATAGCGGTGTACTAATGACTTGCAGACCGTCTGCGCTCCCTGTTGCTATTGAAGGAAATGGCTTTAGGAAGAAAGCAGGACGTACTGTTTCAACTTAGTTTATTTTAGATGTCACGCTGCCAGTGTCTTTAGCTCCACATCCCCTGCCCACCTCTTCATTCTTTCTGTTCAGAAAAAAAAAATACAGAACATAATGTTGGGGGCTGCTTTCCTCTGCTTTAAAATTGGTTCTCAGCCGGGCGGTGGTGGCGCACGCCTTTAATCCCAGCACTCGGGAGGCAGAGGCAGACGGATCTCTGTGAGTTCGAGGCCAGCCTGGTCTACAGAGAGTTCTAAGACAGGCTCCAGTGCTACAGAGAAACCCTGTCTTGAAAAATTAAAACAGACAAACAAACAAACAAAAAACCTGGTTCTCACTGGTTTCTGCCAGGCTGCCAGCCAATGGAGAGGTCAGGCTACGGTTCGGGCAGCATGCTAGCCCGAACAAACCAGAAGCTCCTTTGAGTTGGAGTGTAGTACTGTGGAGAGATTGGCTAGGTGTTAATTATGCTTTTGACTAAGTGTCTTTGTAGAATTATAGTTGTTTTTTCTTGGGGGTTGTCGAGGTTCCTTCTTAAAACGGGTGGCTATGTTATAATTTATTTTATATTTATGGTGTCTTGAGTACACTCTTTGTTTGTTTGCTTTTTGCATCAGGGTTTTACCATGTAGTTCTTGCTGCCCTGGAACTTGCTATTCAGACCAGGCTGGCCTCTAACTCCCAGGGAGCCACCTGTCTCTGCCCACCAACTGCTGGGATTAAAAGTGTGCACCACTGCACCTGACTTTATTAAGTTTATGTTTCTGTCTTATTTCTTAGCACAAATGAAGTTCAGTGAATAAGGACTTCACTTAAAAGTTGTGCTATTGAGGCAATGAAGACATTTCCTGTCCTGTTTGTTCTACCCCCAACTTCATAATTAGCTATGTCTAATGCTGACTGGTTTCACTTGCTGCCTTTGCTGTATGCTGATGTGCTGTCTGCCATATTTCAGTTTGGGAAAGAATGGAAATCTTATTTTTCCCGGCAGATACTAGAACTCTTACTCCAGAGAGGGGGTCTGGAATTCAGCCACTGTGTGTGTAATACTGATGACATGTTATTGAATGTGATTGATGCCTTGTTAAGACATTACGACGTTAGCCTTTGGATCTGTAAGTGCATTCACCAATTTGCCTTTCAGAGTGAGAAGACATACTATCTAGATGTCTTTCTTTTGATTACTCGAAGTCTTTACTTCAAAGAGATGATTTAAAAGCTTTTTAGGTATTTTTTTCTAATCATTAGTTAGATGCATGATCATGTTTGTTGGTCTTTTTACTCTGATTTATTGCTTGTTAGACCTGACTTGTAAATTGAAGCTTATCAGTGTTTAATATATCCAAATGCTGCCTGCACACAGTGTTCTCTGCTGGATGCCCTAGAGTTGAGGTGAAAGCATATATGGTTCTTGTTCTTAAGGACCACAGTTTTGTTTTGTTTTTTGTTCTGAAAGCCAAGGCAAACATGGAAATATTAGCAGTCATGCATAGCTTAAGGATGGGGACACATTCTGAGAATTAGAGTGTTTTCATGCATGTGTAGCCTTTGCGGAGTTTACTTAGATAAACTAAAGTGCATTGTGGTCTTGAGGGCTGAATCAGACCTTTACACATGCCAGGCAGGGAAGTGTTTACTACTGAACTGTCTTACGGTCTTTATTTATTTCTTCTTATATAGATAGCTCTGGCTAGTTTTGAACGCAAGAACTTCCTGCCTAAGCCTCCTGTTACTGGGATTACAGGCAACACCCTTTCACCCCCATCTCAGCAACATGATTCTTTTGTTGTTGTTGTTTTCATTTTTGTTTTTGGAGACAAGGTTTCTCTGTGTAGCTCTGGCTGTCTTGGAACTTTCTCTGTAGACCTAGGTATCCTCTAACTCAGAGATCCACCTGCCTCTGCCTCCTGAGTCATGGGTTTAAAGTCATGTGCCACCACCAGGCTAGCAACATGTTTCTTTTTTTTAGTTTTTCAAGACAGAGTTTCTCTGTAGCTTTGGAGCCTGTCCTGGAACTAGCTCTTGTAGACTAGGCTGGCCTCAAACTCACAAAGATCCGCCTGCCTCTGCCTCCCAAGTGCTGGGATTAAAGGCGTGCGCCACCACCGCCCGGCCGCAACGTGTTCCTTAATGGAACTATCTTGTATTGTCTATCTGAAGTCAGGAATTCACGTAAAGGTCATATAATGCATGACAGCAAAGCAAACGAGGACAGATACTATGTGGTTTCAGTTTTAGAGAGGAAGATAAGGTTGCATTGGTGTCATTGAAGTACTAATACAGATGAGGTGGAGTTGAACGAGTTTTGAAGGACAGGTCAAATTCAGCTTGAGAATATGCAAGACTGGAAGATAACACATGAAAGTATGGGTTGAGGAAGAAAGGAGACTATTGAGTAAATCTTTGTTGTCTTTAGCTGACAAAATTGTAGTTATGAGGTACATGATGTTTGATATACATCATGGAATGGCTAAATCAAATTATTAATTGAGTTTAACATAGAAAAGTACCTCACACTTTTCAGTTTTTATTATCTTGCTTATTGTGTGTGTCCATGTTCATGAATGGGCATCATGGTGCCAGGTTGAAGATCAGAGGACAACTTTTGTCAGCCAGTCCTCTCCTTCCACCTCATGAAGGAAATTTCTAGAAGAAGCTTTCCCCCTCTACTGGGTTTCTCTGTAGATTTTTTTCTTAAAGATTTATTTATTTATTATGTATACAACATTCTGCCTCTATGTATGCCTGCATGCCAGAAGAGGGCATCAGATCTCATTATGAGATGGCTGTGAGCCACCATGTGGTTGCTGGGAATTGAACTCAGGACCTCTACAAGACCAGCCAGTGCTCTTAACCTTTGAGCCATCTCTCCAGCCCCTCCCTGTAGCTTTTTAACCTGTCTGGGAACTTCCTCGTTAGACCATGCTGGCCTTGAACTCACAGATACGATATGATGTGTCTCTGCCTCCCTAGTGCTGGGATTAAAGGCGTGTACCACTACTGTCCAGCTTCCAGAAGTTTTTACTTCATCTGACTGTTCTCTCAAGAGACAATGTGGGGCTGAAACTAATGACAGTTATACTACATTGAAAGGATAATGGGCTGGAGAGATGGCTCAGTGGTTGCAATCATTGGATGCTCTTCCAGAGGACTTGGGTTCAGTTTCCAGCACCCACATGCTCACACCTGTCTGTGGCTCCAATTCCAGGGGATCTGACACCTTTACACCAGTGCACATAAAATAAATTTAAAAAAAAGAGAAGAAATATGACTAGATAGAATCTAACAGAAGGCTGTATGCTCTGTCCACACGTGCTACCACCCTCCCCCAGTTTCCTTTAAATAGAAGTTTTATAAGGTTGACTCTGGTAGTGATAATTATATAGTAGAGTAGCCTGCTTTGGATATTGATAAGACTTGTGTTGTTCTTAAGTGTTTCTTGGAAATCAGGGCATTTCTCAAATCCAGATGACAGACAAGTCTGGTTAAAGACTGCTTAGCCCTGGCTCAGCCAAAAGGGACTGGTGGGTTTCTCACTTCCTAGTTCTTTGTTATATCCTCTTCTTTGATCTAATAAATTTCCTTCTTTTAAGTAAGTAATGTTATCTCATTTGACTCTTTACCAGCTACTTACGCAGGGCAGGTATTAATCATTGTGTGTATTTATAATAGTTCCAGTATAGGAAAACATTTTGATCATCTTGTAATAAAGGTAGCTAAGTGGTAGATTTCTTCAAGAGTTTATACTACTAAACTGGAGGAAAAATTAGCGATTTGAGATGTTTCAAAAATGCTAATCAGTAAATTACCTTACTCTGTTATCTCTGACTTAATATCTGTTTAATGTCTAGATGATTAGTATCTATCAGCTAAATAATTTTGACTGAATGAGGGATAATGATGTTCTGAGAGCTTTTTTATGTTTTGTTTAAAAAT